AAACTATATTTCTAAACTGTATTTCTTGTGCGGCCCAGTACCAATTGGTCTACGGACTAGTACAGAGCTTATAAAAATTGACGTCTTTTTAATCCATGCATTGTTAGTACAAAGGGTCGCTATCTATTAACGAATTTATTAAATTCTTACTAATTATTGCTGTAGTAATTAAACTCTCTTTTTTAACTCCTTTCCTCTAAAAGTATCAAACATAACATTTTTGTTGACTTTCAGCATAGTCTGTATATCAATTAATCTTATAGAAAATATTTTTTAGCCTGTACATGAATTCCTTGCATTACTTTCACAAATGACTTCTTTATCACATTGGCTTAGAAGTGCCATCTATTGAACATTTCTTAAAACACGTCGTATAATATGAGCACATATTATATTTTAATTGATTTGTGTGAATACGAAAATAAGATTACTTTTATGTAATTTATTTGATGATATGGACATTTTGTAGAATAATGTTCGATTAAAAGTTGAGTATGATATGGTTATGGTGTTGCCAGTTTAGGTTATCTTTTTCAGCACGTTGACTTAGCTCATGAATTCGAAGAACTAGTCAAAAAGGACCATCGATTTGAGGTCGTGTTTCCTGTGACTTTGGGTCTGGTTTGTTTCAGGGTAAAGGTAAGATTTATTTTCGTGGTCACTAAACTAAAAGTGAGGTTTTCAACTCGAACTTCATGGATAGAAATATTTAAATATTTGTGAAGAAACGAAAATAAAGCCTTTATTATTTGTTAAACTTAAAGCTACACAATAGTTTCTCTATGCTGCGACTTCCACGGGTATCGAAACTCGGTGTTTAGCGTTATAAGCCTTCAGACTTACCGCTTACATAAAGTGCTGACCCCTATTTCATTCGGATGTTTATTCGAAAAGAATTTATAGAAAAACAAAATGTTGTAGCTTTTGTTACGAAACTAAACATATAAACATTTTCATCGTCGTGTTCTAGAAACTGTTTGGAATTTTTTGTAAATTCATTTGCATCAGTATCTGTCTCAGTAACTAGTGGTTTCAAATATCCATCGTTTTCTTGGCCCTTGTTTATCGCCTATCATGAATGTAATGATATAACCTTGAACAAATTTGAAAAACACGATTCATCGTCAAGGAATATGATTTTTACTTGTGTTTATTTGGGCATCGGCCCCTAGTAGCACAGCGGTATGTCTGCGGACCTACGACGCTAGAAACCGGGTTTCGATACCCGTAGTGGGCAGAGCACCGATAGCCCATTGTGTAGCTTTGTGCATAACTTCAAACAAACAAACACACTTTGGGCATAGAATACAATTGTAAGAGCATCCACAATAGGTGCAAGGAAGACTTCGTTTCACAGACATTGAACAAAGGGAAAATATGAGGCACATTTAACTTAAATAGTACTCACTCTTTCATTATTATATACATAGTTTATTCATTTTTTTATACAGGGCCCAATATATATAGTTTATTCCTTTTTTTTTTATTACAGGGCCCAGACGCTCTCAACGGAGAAGTGTTACGTCTTATCAACGAACGAGGAAGGATAACTCTCACACCAACAATCTTTAAGGAGATGTATGTTATTCGATTTGCAGTCTGTTCAAAAGATACTAAAAGTGAAGATATACGTTATGCCTGGCGGGAAATCTGTTATGTTACCAGCCAAGTTCTAGCAACAAGAAACTTGTGAATAACGAAAATGATTATACCGATTTAGAGTAAACGTTGTCGTTGTTATTAAGTCATTTCTGATTATTAATAAATTTTTCGCATGAAAAAAGTCTCTACATTGATTTTTTTTTATTAAACTCTAGAAACATCAGAGGTTTTGTTGACTGACTGCACACTTTAAAATAGTGTCTTCTGTACGACATTAATAGATGATGTGAAGTAGCTTTTACTCGTCCTCTGGTGGGTCAGCGGTACGTTTTTGGACTTACAACACTAAAATCTGGGGGTTCGATTCTTCGCGGTGAGCCCCACAATGGCTCGTCGGTAAGTCTTAGGGCTCACACCGCTAAAAACAGGGGTTTGATACTCGTAGTGGGCACCACAGCACAGATAACTCATTGTGTAGTTTTGTGCTTACCAAGAAACAAATCTTCGCGGTTTACAGAGCACAGGTAGCATATTTTATGGCTTTGTGCTAAAACAAACTTAGACTCGGCTCTTAGTTAAAATATATTTTTCCTAAAGTAACAGTTTTAAGTTCAGGTTTAAACGACCTAAGTCTAGAAACATGAAAAGTCATTACTTGATGTGATAACAATATTGTTATCACTCGAAACATTCTCTTTTAAAAAATTAGTTATCTTAACAGTACTGGTTAAAAGGTTTAATAATGTTTTAAGCTATATTTTCAATGTCTCGATTTAGATGTTTGCTAGAGGGAGATAATTATGGTGATGATGCACTACGCCTAGAAAATTCACGATGATGTATTAATCTAGAAGCTTCGTGTAATAGGTAGAAAACAAGTACCATTGTAAATACGAGAAATGGTGACCAGTGAGTTAATTAGCTGATTATGAATGAGAAGTTAATGATTAAACAGTGCGTGTTTCTGGTCAATATCAGTAGTGAGTTAACACGTTTATTCAATTAATCGACCATTAACAAAGAATTTCTGTAAGTAAGCATTTGTAAGTTAGGCATTGATTCTATTAATCTCGGAATTTTTGTTACAACGTTGTTTGTGAACTTAGGCCAACAACTTGTATCAAAGTGAACATAGCGTGTAGCAACGTTATAGAAGAAATAAACTCATTCGTTATTGCTACGCGGACTGGACTTGCCATTATATTTACCAAATAACCCAACTATTTTATCCAGATTCTCCGTGTGAAGTTATAGATTCGTTTTCACGTGACTAATTTCTAGATGCCATAACAGACGAAGATATGAGAATAAGGTTCAAACAAAGTGTACATCTTTAAATGAAGCTCTCCAGTTGACAACTGACTTGAATCCATTAAAGTCGTATATAAAGAAGAACAAGAAGAAATTTATATAAAATTAAAAGAAGATCAAAAAGAAAATTATAGAAAAATTTAAAAAAGCAAGAAGAACGACACAGAAATTTAAAAGAAGATCAAGTTGGAAGAGAACAGAAAATTAAAAGAAGATCAAAAAGAAAGAGGCAAAAAACTAAAAAAAAAGATCAAAAAGAAGAATATACAAAATTATAGTAAGATCAAATAGAATAACATAAAATTAAAAGATCAAAATGGCAGAGAGAAGTTAGAAGAACAAGAAGTTTATAGAAAATTGAAATGAAGACCAAGAGTTAAGAGATGGTAATTTAATGGAGAAATTAAAAGAAAGAGTTATAACATTTAAAGAAGAATTAAGAAAACAAATCTGATTGAACACAAGATCCACAATGATATTGGAGACAGGGATTACAAAAAAATAGCAAGGAGTGCAGAAAGACATCACTGAAGTACAGAAAAACTGTAAATGACAAACTTGAAGAAGTACAAAAAAGATATCAATGACAGAACGAAATATTTGGAATAAGAATTGGTAAATCCTAAGATCAAGCCAGCTACACCTCTTTACACAACTATATTAGAGATGTTATTATATCCCATCACATGAAAGTAAAACTATGCCTTAATAGCGGAGGTTTTCGTATACGTTTTCACATAAATATTATGAAGTTTAATTATATGATCAACGACTTTTAAAATGAATTACTATAACGAATCACCCAAATGTTTTAGTAAACAGAAACGTCAGGTCACACAATACTACCAGTATAAAAACGGACTAGGAAATAAGTTAACTGAGAGGAAATTCTATCAAGACAAACACAGAATAGTCAGAACTTCGATAATTAAAGAGTCTGGCGTTTCGCGCAAGAAACGTTTTGGATATCTTATTGTGAAGAGTTTCAAATGTGGAGTTAAACTAGATATAGAAAACATTGATTTTATAAATGTAACATAGACGTTTTCTCACACTCTATATGCTGCCATCTGGCGACATAATATGTAATATCTCTAATGTGACGTAAAAAAAGAACGAAAAACTTCTGGCAACTCTAAGTTACAAATACGTTATAATAAAGTTTTTATAAAACCAACAGATTTTTTATCACGGCGCTGCCAAGTAGTTGCACTGAAAGTAAAAATAAAATTATATTTTCTGAACAAAGAGTTTTACTAATAACTATTTGTAATTTGACATCTGCCAAAGCTTTTCGTTTCTGATAAAAAGGAGATGAATGTATTTACACTTTCGAAACTAGGTAATCCTAAGCGTTTTGCTACTTATTGGGCCAAATGTAGACTGTAGTTAGGTGTGTTTAATATCTTTAGGTGCATCGATTGCGTAAAGTAACTTTGGATGTTTTTCTAAAGTGTACTCACACATTTTGATAAAATATTTATAACATATTTAAAATTGAAAGAATGTGGAGCAAACTATCAAATAGAATATCAGATCTTAGCGCTTTCCTTAAAGTACTCATAAATCATTTTCTGAAAATGGTCACCTACAACCAATCAAAATTACTACAACATTAGGCGGTCAGATATGTATGTTATTTGGGTAAACTTTGATGTATTTCAGTTTTGATTTATACAATGTTTTCCAGATCAAATTGTCAATTACTGAAATTTTTCTTTTCCAAAATAGCTCATAGAATATGAATTGTTTGTATTTTTATGTTAAAACCAATGGTTGTATGTGTTCTCTTTGTATAATCACTTGTAACGAAAAGGAAGCAAACTATTGTGTTTTTATGAACAATGACGATTGTTTTGAGGCATCGAGATTTTTTTTCTTATGCTAACATTTTAGTGTTTTACTGATAGTGACGTGAGTGGTGTTCCTGGAGGTAATTTGGACATTTTTGCTTTTTCACGGAATCATAGCTTTGTAAATGAATAAAACTTATTTCAATGAGTACATAGATGACCAAACAATAAGGAGCATCTTGATAAGTTTCAACAGTGTTTCGTTTGTTCATTTTCTATACCTCAAACAAAAAGCACTCCAAGGTGAAACATGTGCTGCTCCACTACAATGACTAAATTCCGACATTTAGCTTTATAATCTATAAAGTTTATGGGTGAAACACTGGAATCTGTATTTGGTTTTCATCACTTAATTAAAAGCAAACATAGTTGTCAATTTAGAATTAACCAGAATAAGAATAAAAGAACAACAATGAGCTAGATCAGACTAGAAAACAGATATTAACTAGACTTATGGATAAAAAGTTCGTTATTTCATGAAAAATGTTCCATAGTCCATGGGTTTATTGATGTAAAACCTTGCAGTACGTTGATCGACTCTGGTTGTATAGCTACAATTGGTTATCCCGATTTGGTAATGAAAGATGGGAAATTGCCTTGAGAGATGAAGAAAGAAGAGGGATTTATGCAAAGAGCACGTGTACATAAAATTCCAGCAAGAGGAAAGTCGGAAGTTATCCTTACCATGAGAAACTACTCTAAATCTCATGATGTATGGGTAAGTGACATTGAGGAAAAGCATATTGGTAACTGAGTGCATGAGGAGACATAGGTGCGTGATTAGGGTAGCTATGACCAGAAAATCTGTGTGCACTACATTGTAATTAATACAACAGAGATTAGGCTTGTACTGACGACAGGTAGGGTCATCATTGTACCTCTAAGAAGTGAGATACTCATATCACGAGTTATTAGGAAAATATTTACATATAATGACAAAGGTGTAAAGAAATCAAACATTCCAACATGTCCTGTGGAATTCATGGCTGGAAGACTTCTCGTTGGTCTGAAGAGTAAAGATGTCATACAGTGAATTTAGGCAGGAAATACTTAAATCAGCTGGTTATAAATTCAAGTCTCTATAACGTAAATCCCAATAAGACTGTATTTCATCATTGTGACATGGCATGGTTGTACAATCTCCACTGCAAGAAAGAATGAACTCCAAAATTAAGTAGGTGGTGGAGAGGATCATACGTTGTACTGGAAATAATCAATGATGTAGTTTACAGAATCCAGGTCGTCAAAGCCAAAGATGATCCACTGTAATCGTCTTTGGAAATACGTCAGTGAGAGAACGACAACCTGAGTAATTTCAGAAAAGAATTTCCCTGTGGAAAGTCAAACTACAAAAGTTCCTGTCTAGACCACTTTCAGAGGATCATCAAGGATTGAGCCACCAGTGGATTTGCTTGACCACTTACCGAAAGAGAATTCCTCCAATGAAAGGGCAGCAAATGACAACAAGAGACAACCCCATCTCTATACTATAATCCTAGGAAAAGAAAACCACCAAAGAGACTTGGTGAATGGATAGTTTAGTGTACTTTTTATTTGTGTATTAGGATTGTTCAAGGGACCAAAGGACTTCACAATTCAGGAAGGGGCAGTGTTGTAAGCTATATTTTCAGGTTTTTAATTTAGATGTTTGCTAGAGGGAGCTAATCATGATGATATGCAATATGTCTAGAAAGTTCATGATGGTTCGATATCGAGAAGCTTCATGCAATACGTTGAAAACAAGTACAAATATAAGTACGAGAATCAGTGACGCAGTGAGTTAATGAGTTGATATGGATTAGTAGCTAATGCGTAATCAATGAGTGTTTCAGATCAGTGTTAGTACTGAGAATTATCGCATCTACTCAGTTAATTGATAATTAACAGCAGACTAGCCGCTGTGCCACTGTTGCAACGTTATTTGTGAACTTAGGCTTCCAACTAGAGTCAAAGTTAACGTAGCCTATAAAAAAACGTGGACTGAACTTACCATCATTTTTACCAAATAATTCAAATTAGA